TACAAACCAGTGTACTGGCTATTCCACTACAAAATGACGGACAAACCCCTGAATTAACAGGGTGATCTTTGGATATGAGGCAGATGTGAGATAATTTGTTCACTATAAAATTTCCAAAAGGTTCACAAGAAACACAAATAATCTCTATAAATAGTTTCTAAAAGAAAAATAAACTACCTTGAGATCATTTTTGGTCGCAGCAAAGAGAGCGTCTATATGGGTAGCTTGTAGACTTGGAAGGCAAGCACCCCCTTTTTATGTCTATGGCCAAATTATTTATCTGACATTGATTATGATGTATTTAATTTAGTCTAATTGTACTTTTAATCCACCACAAGTCATCAGGTACCCAAAAGCGCTATCTATGAGCACTTTGTAAACAAAATAAACACTAGAGCAATAGATCCTATCCGATGGGAAGTGCTTCTCGTTATCATAGGACAGGACATCAACAGCAACACCATTTTAATAACCGTAGTGCACACACAGCGAAGGCCCTTCTACTCCTAAGAAAACTGCCAATGAAAAGTGCAAGTGAAAAGCAACAGTACACCCAAACTCTGCGACATCAGTCTAAAATATTAATAAAACATTCAATATTTACACATATACGTAAACACTTTAGGTGTGCTATTCAAGGACACTCACATATTTACTCCATAAATAAATAAACAAGAAAATATAAATGAACAGCTACGTGACGATTTGTTCCAGCACATAGAAGTAGCCTATACATTTTTCCAGACGGTTGGTAGCCTATAAAATCAGCTTGGTTTATAACAAGGTTGCGAAAGATGAATGTTAGCTATTTGTTTCGTTTATGTGATGTATTAAGATCCAACCCAAGTCAAATCCCTCCATAACAAATTATTGCCACAAATTTGCTTATGATGTTGGATGTTGAACAGGATAGCAAATCTTTGAAAAGATCTTGCTGCAGTGTCAAAAACAACAATCTTCACTTATTGCGATAGGCCTACGTAATATTTTCGGTAATGCTTTATAATAACTAAAAGACTGCCTCCCTTCCTTTTGTTCCGATTTCCTTTTTCGTAGTAGGCTATCTTAATTAGTGGAGACAGACAACAAAACATAGCCTATTTCTGAAAGTAATTATAAAGTGTTACCCCCTTTTTTTTCTTTTTTAATATTTGTGACCTGCTGGAATATTCTCAATGTCTATAAAAGTATTTTTTTATACACACTTTAGGGTTTTGTTTTAAGGTACTGGTAAATGTGCCAAAAGTTTTTTTAAACGTCCAAAACGTGGTTAAGATAAGAAATGTAACAGATAGCTAGGCGAAGTATTTCTATTTTGGACAGCTTCTTGTCGGGTGGAAGTGTTGGTAGCAGCTTTCTAAGCTCAGCGAACGCTACGTTGAACGCTTCCACTCTGATGCGCTCGCGCGTGGCATGCGCAGAACGGTATTTCGCAGTCGCGCGCCTCTTCCGTCTCTTCTCCTCTCTGGTGAGCGCAGCTGGCACGAGTGCGCGAGTTTTGCCATCCTCGTGAGCCACACATTCCACCTTCATGACGTTCAGACATTCCGTGTCCGGCTGCGTCCAGGTGAGGTCAGGATCCGTCTGATCGGGGCTCAGCATCATTTTCAGATCCGTTTGATCAAGGCTTCAAAAGTGCACTGATTGTTAACTGCCCTGGTGAATTAGATACAAAGGATTTGTTTTTCACATATAAATAGTAATCTGTACATATTATAATACATTCAGTGCAGTAACTGAAATAAAGCAACAAAGAATAATTAACTAACCAATCGAACAATTATATCTCATGAAATGGATAGAATTTCTAGACTAAATTATTGTATTTTATCTCCATTTTAAAGCTAACACTCTAGGCTATTCGTTTATGTTACTTTAAAAACGGTTCAGTAGTTACTAAATGCTTGTGAATGGTTGTCAGTGTGCATTTAGCTATTTAGCTCACGCAGCACACGTTACCATCAGTAGATGATTATAAATATTCACTGGTTCCATGCAAAAGTGAATGGAAATCAATTATTGTCAAAAATCCAAAGTCAGAGCTGACCATCTGTCGCAAATGCAAATGCAAAGCCTATAGCTCCAGATGACACAAGGGTGAGTGAATCTCAATTCATGGATTCAGTCACATGGAACATTAAAAAAGATTATGAGATGGTTAATGTGTTTATTATTATTATTAACGCCTTGTTGATTTGTACATTACACGGTTCAGGTTACTTTTATTTGCATGTTATTTGCACGCCTACTGAGCGATGCAACTGAAACTAACGCTGTAAAAATTCTACCCATTGCAACTGTACGTTTAATTGCTGTCTTAAATTTTAAAGAAAAAAATCAAAGCGGTGACAACCTGCAGTGATCAGTTCTCTGCACTTGTTCAACCTCTTTAGTTAGGCTATACAAGATCGAATTGAAATCCTGGAAA